TCTTCTTTGGCCTTCAATCTTTCCCAGCATCAGGGTCTTCTCTAGTGAGTGCTCCCTTCTCATTTGGTGGCCAAAGTATTTGAGCTTCATTTTCATTATCTGGCCTTCCAGGGAACAGTCAGGGTTGATTTCTTTTAGGATTGACTGATTTGATCTTCTTGCAGTCCAAGGGACTCTCAAGAGTCTTCTCCAGCACCATAGTTCAAAAGAATCTATTCTTCGGCGCTCGGCCTTCCTTATAGTCCAACTCTCGCAGCCATACATGACTACTGGGAATACCATTGCTTTGATCATGCGGACTTTTGTTGGCAGGGTGATGTCTCTACTTTCTATCTATTTTTCTATTTATTGGCAGTCCTAAATTGTGATTTTAAATGATGGTTGATTCATTTGAAATGTGGTGCTGGAAGAGAGTTTTACAGATACCGTGGGCCACCCAAAAGACAAATAAGTGGGTTTTAGGTCAAATCAAGCCCAAACTCTCCCTAGAAGGACTAAACTGATGCTAAGGCACTTTGGTCACATCATGAGTAGGCAAGAGTCACTAGAAAAGTCAATAATGCCAAGAAAAGTTGAAAGTGGCAGGAAAAGAGGAAGACACAATGTGAGATGGATTGACTCAGTCAAGGAAGTCATGGCCCCCAGTGCGCAAGACCTGAGTGAAGCTGTTAACAATAGGACAATAGGACATTAAAAGTGCAATCCAAAGGAGACTTACTCCAGTCTAAGCCCACGAAAATGAATGGTCTTAGAATGGAGTAACTCTCCTTAGGATTGCAGTGTAAGACAGTGTAAGTCATGGGTTGCCATAAGTCAGAAGTGATTTGACAGCACTTAACACAAACTTTTATGTATCTTTATGGTGGTGGTTTTAAAGAAGAAGAAGAGGAGGAGGAGGAGGAGGAGGAGGAGATTGGATTTATACCTCGCCCTTCACTTGGAGTCTCAGAGCAGCTTACAAACCCCTTTCCCTTCCCTTCCCCTCAACAGATACCCTGTGAGGTAGGTGGGGCTGAGAGAGCTCTGACAGAACTGTCCTTGAGAGAACAGCTCTGACAGAACTATGGCTTGCCCAAGGCCATCCAGCAGCTGCAAGTGGAGGAGTGGGGAATCAAACCCGGTTCTGCCAGATTAGAATCCTCCTTGAGTTCTATAAGGCAGAATGGCAGCTAATAAATGTTTTAAATCAATAAAGAAGCACTAAAATAAACTAAAATGAACTAGAACTTTTGCAAATTAAGATATGGCAAATGAGATCTGTATGCTACCTCCTTTCATGTAAACTGGTGAAAGAAACTCACGTAGAGAGTGAACTCTGCCCCTGATAACATATTTACAGCCATGTGAGATTTCTCACAATTGAGCTAATGCTTTTGAATTCCCTCCAGGTTCCAAGACCTCATGTTGATGTATATGAAAAAAAACATCCCACATTAACTTCTGTACATATTTCCATCAGTATTCAGACTATGTATCTTACACATCTGTAGCACAATCAGTTTAAATTAATGAGGGTAGTTATATCAATCCTGTCTAGTACATACAACAATGTCCTTCTTCTAAGGTAGATTCAGTTGGGCAGCCATTTTGGTCTGAAGCAACAGGACAAAGTTTGAGTCCGGTGACACCTTTAAGACCAACAAAGTTTAATTCTGGGTATAAGTGTTTGTGTGCTGGCATACTGCTTCAGATACAGTTCAGATACATGTACCATTTGTCAACTGCTTCTAAGTGTTCAGTTCCCCACTTAATTCTCCTGTTAGATAGCTTACACTGAGCGAGAGAGTGACTGGCCCAAGATGACCCAGTGAGCTTCACGGAGATGTGACTCCAAGACATTGAATTTGCTCACTCTAGACCTGCATAATCCCAGAGGGTAGGTGTGTTGGTCTTGCAGTAGAACAGCTCGATCTGAGTCCAGTAGCACCTTAGAGACCAATGAGATTTCTGCAGTATGAGCTCTCAAGAGCCAAAACTCCCTTCATCAGATACAGGTAGGAACGAAATTCCCTGAGCCCTTATGTCCTGGTCAGAAGGTGGGAGGGCTATTTCAAAGAAGGAACTCAGGAGGCAAAGGTACAATCTGCAGATTAATGTTTGATTAGACCAGAGAGTAAGTGCTTGGGGGCAGAAAATCAGCATCTGTAGTGAGAGAAGAATCCTATAGAACAAAGTTTGAGTCCAGTGGCACCCTTAAAACTAAGGAAGTTTAATTGTGGATATAAGCTTTTGTGTGCATGCTCCAGATACTGAAGATACTCCAGATACATTGCCACTGGTGGACCTCCTGATGGCACTGGTATTTCTGGCCACTGTGTGATACAGAGTGTTGGACTGGATGGGCCTTTGGCCTGATCCAACACTGGCATCTCTTATGTTCTTATGTTAAATCTTTTAGATCTCAATCAGAATCCTGTCTAGTCCCGGGGTTTTCTTTTTCTTTTGTGTTTTAGTTGCCTATACAATTTTGCATATTGTTATTCGCTCGTTTAAAATTCTATTTTGTTCCTCATTAAAGCTCTTAGTATTTTTCTTGTTTATATATTCTAGTATAGTATTTTCATCTATCTTTCTTTGCTGGAAAAGAGTTGTATAGAAATTTTCCACCGTTGGTACCTGTCACCTGAAAGGCTAGCCCAAATGTATGTGGGTTTAGATGCAAAGTGTTGGAAATGTAAGTTAAAGCTGGGCTCATACTATCATGTATGGTGGACATGCAAAGAGATTACCAAATTTTGGAAAGAGGTGCACAGGATGCTATGTCAAATAGTTAAAAAACAAATTCCGTTAAGTCCAGAAGTATTTTTACTGAACCTATACCCAGATAAATGGAAAAAGAGTGATAAATATTTAACTTTGCATATATCAACAGCTGCGCGAATGCTACTTGCAAAAAATTGGAAAAATGAATCAGTACCAACTAAGATGGAACTGATTAGCAAAATAATAGATATTGCGGAAATGGATAATTTGACTCAAAAAGTGAATGGGAGTATGAATAGCTTTTTTCAAACAGTTTGGATGCCTGTATATAAATGGTTAGATGCGGAGAATATTTAACCAGAAGGTTCGTGATGTCTTACAAGGGTGTGGTAAGCGGAGGGTGGTGGGGTCTGCTGGGTGTTGTATTGTTGTTTTATTGTTATATGCTGTCTTCTGTTATATGTTGGAAAAATAAAAATTTATTTAAAAAAAAAAAAAAAGCTGAAGATCGCCCGTGCAGGCGAAAAACGGTGGGAAAAAGCGCATCGGAACTGGGAGAGGAAACTGAAGACTACTTGGAAGCGGTTGACAGGTAAAACGCTTCAGCCCCGTTTCCTAAACAGGACAGAAGCGTTTGTGTGTGAAATTACAAATATATTCCAGTAGGGAACCGGTTCTAAAACGGTTCTGTCTGAAATGACAGACCAGAAACCTTTTGGGAACTGTTCCTCTTCCAGATTATATCGTCTGTCTGAAATTCCTCACCAACAGAACAAAGTTTGAGTCCATTGGCATCTTTAAGACCAACAAAGTTTTATGCAAGGTATAAGCTTTCATGTGCATGCGCACTTCTTGAGATATAATGAAATGGAAATTACCAGTCCATACAGAGAGGTAGAAGGTGAGCAGCAAATTAGCATACAGCATAAAAATGTTTAACAGATTCAAGGACCAAACAGGAATAACAAGCTTAGTTTATATGGTTACCATTTGTTTGGGTTTAATTCTGGGGAGAAACATAGTGAAGGAGATAAATATATCAAAATGGGAGATTGATGGCCATATGTATCCTTAATTGTGGAATGCTTAGAGTAATTAACTGAGAGCCTGCCATTACGCTCCATCTGTCTCCTCTCAAGCATGGAGGCAACACCAACAGAGTAGCCCAGTCTCCTTTAATAATCACCCCTCACTCAGACACTGCACAAAGCTATTGGGGATGGGGACTCAAACACTACTTCATTTACACACTGCCACCATTTATTCATATCTTAACAGATATATTTATATTTAGGTCGAGATGTTAGCTTGTGTGTGTGTTTCTTTCCCTGAGACAACCAGTCCTTATGGTTAAAGAAACACAAGGAGTTGAATTTTATTTCTGGTTTGAAGATTGGAGAAGATCAGGTAGAGGTTACAAAGTTTCAGTTGAAGTTTTGAGCTGTTTCCATATTACAGCATTTGGGATCTTTTCGTACAAGTGGATCCTTTTCAGACAGCTTTAAGGGGCTTGTGTCCACAGCTTCACTCAACCATACTGACTCCCAACTGAACTAACTGCTGTCTTCAACAGTCTCCCTCACCAACATGCTGTCAGCTCCAACTGGCCACTCTTGGGAGAGGTGAAAACTAACCTGTATGTCACAATGAGGTTCCAAATTTCTCTGGCATAAATCCAAATTTCTAATAGGTCCTCATAACCCAATTAAAGGAGTATTGTCAGCAGGTTTTTAAGCTCCAGGAATAACATCAGTTCTTATTACACTGGCTTCTATAAGTAAAGTAAAAGTTTGCAGGGGCCAAGGCAATTGCATATCCAGTTTACCTGACTCTCTTCCACCAACTTCTGCTACCTCAGCTACTGAAACCATGCTTTCCATGTGGCCAACTGCAGTTAACTCCATAGATGGCTGTACTGAAACAAACCATGTCATTTATTTACTTTATTTATAGCCTGCATTTCTCAGCGAGACTTAAGGTGGGAAGGAAACAGCTGCTCCTTTTTTGGTTGACAGGTTTTTGTTTGTCTGTAACTTATGTGTTTCAAGTATGGTTGAATCCACAACAATACGTGTTTCAAAATATTCAGTATTTTATAAATTGCCTTTGATTATCTTAAGCCTTTACCAGTGTGACCCTAAGCAGAGTTATACTTTTCTAGGTCTGCTGAAGTCAACTGGCTTAGAAAGATGCCACTCTGCTTAGGGATACATTCCAAGGGTTTTACAGTAGTTCACCATTGTTACAGTAATTATATCACTACTGAAAGCCTCAATATATATATTTCATATCCGTACCATTTTCAGGGGCCTCATGGACCTAATATATGCTTCTTTCTTTTCCCAGAAGGATAAATCAGGATATTCCCCAGGCTCCAACATCAAAGGGATTCCCTGGAAACCAGGTTCTTCATAAAGTAGCCATCTACAAATGGAAGACAAAAAGTTTACATGGGAATATGATGCCATCAATTCCAGAAGGGTTTCAAATACTAACACTTCATTTCAGCATAATCTTTGCATTCATTTTATTTAGGAGGTTTGAAGAAACAAACAAACAAAAAAGCAATATAGAGAGTATAGGGTTACCAAGTACCTACCGTGAATCAGCGGGGGACACATGCTTTCCTGCTGGAACATTCCTGCCTGTAACACACCTGCATCACACTATGCTGTCGCCCAGACGTGACGTCAGCACGCTGGGCACGTAGCCGGGCGACACTCTGGCAATGGGGCTGAAAACTCAATGGTACCATCGAGTTTTCAGCCCAGTTGCTAGAGTGTCAACTGGCTATGTGCCTACTGTCGTATGTGTTTTCCCTGTGGGAATGTTCCCGCCAAGAACTATGTGTCCCCCGCCAATTCGCGGTAGGTACTTGGTAACCCTAAGAGAGTAGAAGGGTTCTGCTGATATATATCACATTGGAGAATGAGCCCAAGATGGTATAGCTGATGTTATTAGGTCCTATTGCCTGACTGTATCTGGGGACAAAGACAGCATTACTGGTGAATGCAGGCAATTCTATTTATGTAAACAGTAAACATGCACCAAATTTCAGACATTCACAGCAGAATATGCATTCATATAAAGTCAAAGTTTGTCCTCTTCTCACTGTTACTTGCATTCTGTTACTAATCACCATTACAGAAAGCCAGCATTAACTACAAAACCAGTGAAGACATTTTAATAAAATAGGTGGAGTGAACTTATTGTGTTATCAATCTTCTGCTCCAGCTGCGTTGACAGATTAATAATACTGTATGTGTATGTCACTTTTTTGTCAACACGTTTCTAACCATACCAACAGTTTCTTCTCTCTTTTTTTGGCCCCCCGAAGGGGATTTTTTAAATTTCATTTTTCTAAAGACTACAAATCTACAATGAAAATGAGGGAAGGGAACTACATTTAGGGATAAAGAAAAGAAAACCCACTACTATCTAAAATCCCAAGAGAGGAGATCCTCAAAATTTCTTAAGTACAAAGTCAGTTCTAAACAATTTTTTGAACTTAGTCAGATCTACCATTACAACTTTTGAATCTTAAATAAACTGTTAAAAATAAAACCCCCAAAACATCTCATTACAATCATCTCTTTTCAAAG